CATGGGAATATTTTTAGAAAAAAATAATTACCTAGAAAGTTTGTACCCTACATGATCCTAAAATCCAATCCTTATTTGCTTGCGATGGAGATGCATCTATTATTGATTGATGGTGGAGTTCCACTTAACTCTCTTCAAAAGGAACCATATTTTAGGGGGGGCCTCTTTTTTTGTATTTCTTAATCCTCCTTTGTGGAATCCATTCCAGTAATGTTGACATCACACTAATTTTGAGCCACTCCTTTTTTTAAGAATAATTTTCCGGCCATGTAATGTCGGGCTCTTTTTTTTATAAGAATTGAAAGTTAATTTTTAAAATATTTTTAATTTAAAAATATGTTAAAAATATTTTTTTAAAAAATTATTTTTAATATTAACATGTAGAAATAATTTAAAAATATTAAAAATAATTTAAAATAAATAAAAAATAATTTATTTCAAAAATACCTTTGAAAGAATACAAAATCAAACAATTATATATATATATATATATATATATATATAATTCTTGATAGTGGTCTAGTTGAGTTTATGGTTTACTAGTGAATCAAAGATTTGGAGCATCTAAATCAGCATGATTCTTGTCATTGACCAATAGTCCATTAAAATCCCACTACCCCATAATTCATGCAACTAGAAATCCTCTTTTCTTTTAAGATAATTAGACAAAAATAGTACCCTAATTTGATGGCTTGGGTTGATTCCTAATTATTATAGTCAATTTAAAAGTATAATTATGGTTATTTTTTAAAGTATTTTTCCTGTTGAAATATATTAAAATAATATTTTTTATTTAAAAAAAATTATTTTTAAATTTAGCATATCAAAACAATATAAAATATATAAAAATTATTTTTAATAAAATAAATAAATTAAAATGATGATTCTTTTTCGAAACATGGTGCATAATCTTCGTATTTATACCTCCCACCACCTAGTACCATAGGATAATAGGTATATATAGGGTCCCTCACGTTTAAGGAACCTAATTAATCAGTGTCATGAAACAAAATATCCAAGGTTGTCATTAGCTTAAGAACCGATCATGGAAGATCGATCACCCAAATCTTCAAAGCTCAATTGAAAACTTGTCACCATAAAATGTCTCTTCTCTACCATGCTAGACCCCTCAATTAAAAGGATATTGTCTTGTTTGAGAGTGAATTTGACGTGACATTATGGTGCATTTCTTCTTTTAAAAATAATTTCTAGAAATTATTTTTTAAACTTTTTTATATTTATTTATTATTAACAAAATTAGTTAGCATAAAATACTTTTAAATAAAAAATTAACTTGATTTTTAGAAAAGTATTTTTATTTATAAAAATTTTAAGAATTTATACATGTATTTAATTAAATAAATTAAAAATTATTTAAGCTAATAAATATAAAACAAAAACATTGTTAATTATAAATAAAAACTAAATTAGAAAAATCAAGTATCCATGAGGATACTTAATTTTGCAACATTGGGTATACGCCCAATTATTTTATTTAAGCTAATAAATATAAAACAAAAAAAATTGTTAATTATAAATAAATACTAAATTAGAAAAATCAAGTATACATAAGGATACTTAATTTGCAACATTGGGTATACGCCCAATTATGTTTAATAATTCTTAAATTTTTTATTTATTCAAACAATTATATATCATGATTATCCATGCCAATAAAACAATATTTACCTAATAAAAGTTTTTTCTATTTTTTTTTAAATATCATGATGTGCTCATCTCATACTTACATTTAATCAATTAATTTAGTTTAATTTATTTTAAAAATAAAATATATTTTTACAAAGCTAAATTAAAAAAATAATAAATAAAAATATTTGAAATAACCCAAGTTATTTTCAAAATTAGTAAAAAATTATATAAAAAGAAAATAAAAAATAATACAACTTAATCTCCAATTAAATAAATATTTAATGATAAAGTTAAAAAAATATAAGTTTAGAAAAAAAACAAATAAACCAAGCAAAATCAAATAAACTTTTTAAATCTAGTTTAATCTCTATAACCCACAACTCTTGAAATCTTAAATCTAGATTTAATCAATAAGCTTAATTTTAATTAATTTAATATTAAAATGATAAAAAAAAATTAATTTCAAGATAATTATTTTTGACAAACCTAATGACCTAGACACTCTATTTTTTTTTTTAAATAATTATTTTTCGAGTCCAAACTCTATTTTATTTTTCTCAATTGAATTGCCTTATTTAATATTAAATTCAATTCAGAGTTAAGTCTTTTATTCGTCAATAGTTCGGAAGTTTTTATGGGCAAGTTTTGGTAAATTCATTAAACTAGGTTGTTTTATTTTGAAAAGAGGATTGAATTGAATTTGAATACTATTAAATAATTAAAAATGAGGTTTAACCGCCGAAGATATTAATTTAAATTGTAGCAAATAAGGTATTTAATTAATAGGATTTATTAATGAAATAAACTTTATAATTTAAATGGAGTATCTCACCACCTTCTGACATTGAAAGTAAAATTCAATCTCATCAAATCTTATGTAAATAAAGTGAAGTGACAGAGGAGATGATGCACCGTCTAATGCAGCAAACAACTTCATCAGTGGAGATGCATGCATCTAGCAAATACATGATGACGTGGATGTTGTTTTTTTTGTATTTTAAAAATAATTTTATATTTTAAAAATAAATAAATTTTATTATTTTAAATTATTTTAATACAGTGATATTAAAAAGAATTTAATTTTTTAAATATTTTTTAAAATAACAAGTACTTTAAAAAATAATTATAACTACAATTCTAAATAATTTCAAATAAATAACACCTTTAATTTTTATTTTTATTTTTTATTCAACTTTAGGATATGAACTGGAGCACACGTGTGTGTTACAAAGAAAATCTAAAACACGTCAAGGGGAAAAAAAAAGCATTGTATTTATGCCATGATTTACTGGAAGATCAAAATAATAAATTTATGATTTTATTTTTTTGAATAAAATTTAATGGTTTATATTAGGAGTTATTATTGTCTTTTCACGAGGTCTATAAGTCTTGAGGCTTTTGTATTTTTGAAATTTCACTTTTAACAATACACTAAAATGATTTTATTATTTTTAAAATTAAAATTTCATTGTCTTTCCTCCATGATCTTATTCATATTTCATTTTGATTTTTTTTTTGTGATTATTATATAGTTTTAGAGACAATTTGGTATTTTAAAAAATAAAAAATAAAAAGTGGTTGAAATACGCATTAAATGTACTAATGAGGAAGCTCCCTACCATGTTTAAGCGGTGGATTCGACATCCAACAAAGGCCTTTATTAGTGTTTTTTAATATATTTTTAAAAAGTTTCGTCCACAGTGTATCAATTTTTTTTACCTCCTAATATTTATATATATTTTCTAAAAGGTTAAAAAGAAAATTAAGCAACGGAGTAGCAAAGGTCACGAATATAGTGTATAAATATAAAAGAAGTCGTAGACTCACAGGTCAATGATAGCCAAAAAGCTAAAAGAAAAGAGAAGTATAGATCTTCATTGGAACCATCATAAATGGGGAACAAGGCAAGTGTGGGGAGTGAGGCCCCATCCTTTTTCTAACGACCACTTGCATGCCCCCATTTTTGACCTCAACAGAACAATGTCTGTGCACATAAACAGTCGCTTTCTCATTTTTTTCATCAGGACACGATTTTTCGTGAATCTTATCACAGTAGTTTACGTGGTCTGTATGATCTGGTGTGGCTGCTGTGAGTTTGGTGGGAGTTTGGCAAAGGTTCAGGTGGGCTTTTATGGTGTTCTGACAGATCATTCTCACCTCTGATCACCCCCACCGGCAAAAAAGTTACACTTCAATGGCGTAAAATCAAAATAACCTTATTTTTGTCCTCCATGGATTGGCTTGGCTCATGCAGTAAATGCCAGTAAAGAGGATCCCATTTCGCTTACGAAAATTTTAGGCTTCTGGCCTTGTTACCTGTTTTGAAATATAAATCACTGAGATTGTAAAAACAAATATATTCTTGCTTTTTCTGAGAAACCAGATTTTTCAGGAATCGATATGTTTATATATGATTTCTTTTCATTTACAAATATGTTTAAAGTTTTATCTTCCATACAACTGCAGTGATATTCTATACAATTATGCTTGGATGTGAAAGTAACTATATCATACTTCTTCAATTTTAAGATTATGATGCTTTTGTTGCCATATAAAATAAAATAAAAATAAGTTGATTATTTATTTTCATACTCTATGCGCTTCTGAGTTATTTTTTTTACATTTGAATTTGAGATAAGAGTATAAACAAAAAAATATATTTAGAAAGTTTTCTTCTTCTCTTTGCTGTCATGAGAAAACTCTGGTTAAACTAAAAAAGGACCCACTTCGAGTTCATCCTCATCTTCATCAATCAAGGAGTTTTTGCCACGATCTGTATGTGTGTGTGTGTATTTCATGTATGTGTAATTTTGACCAACGACAAGCCTTGGGATCGAGTGATCAACCTCCTCACCTAATAGTTTGGCGCATTCCCAACCTCTGTGTGTGTGTATTCCCTGTATATGTACACATTGTTATAGATTCTGACACGTGGGACTGTCTCAAACCTTTCTCTCTATGAACCTTCGTATTGATTTAGATTTTGTTCTTTATTTATTTTTTCCTTCCTAAATCTTCCACTCTTTATCTTCCAACTGTCTCCCATTACATGTACAGTTTAGTTCTCTCTTATTTGTCTAGGAATTTATCCTCGAGGATTTTTACTGTACAAGTAGATTTATTTTTCACATTGTTATTCATATCTTATCAATAAGAAAAAATACCTTAAGTTTAGTATTGGTAAATAAATATAAGATGGACAAAAAATAAAAGATAACGTAGGAGTTAACTGTAATTTTTTCCTTTACCACAGCAGGGTAGGAAATTAGGAATTCACTGCATGTAGATGCCTGAACATAGCATATTTTAAGAAGCAACCCCAGCCTTTGCTTGTTGGTTGTTATTTATCCCTTGTGGTGTTGTAACTGCCAGCGATCAATCAAAGCATTGTCGGGTGTGCTGTCTTCAAATAGTTTAAAGTTGTCTCGATTTTACCAAACTATGGCCACCCTTTCTTAAATTTAATTTATCTGTCGGTTTAAACAAAGATAAAATCACTTTTCTTATATATTACTTCTACTCCATTTCTTGTTAATGGTGATATATTTTTGCTATATATTGTGATTCATCGGCGAATGTCTTCTCATAGCCAACATAGTCTGTGACTCTCTCTATCTTAGTATCACAAGTCTCGAACCACCCCAGTTCATAATTTTCTCATATCCAATGCTTTTCTTACTGATTTCTTGTTTTTCTTTTATTTTCTTTTTCAAGTCATTTTCTTTCAAGCCACTGAAGAGTGAGGGGAATATGTTGTTGTTGGGGCCTTGGTTTTGGGAGGGGTTTTCAAGTTTTCTTGTTTCATGGTTCAATAAAGGAAGGTTTGCTGTTAGTATGTTTCAAGTTCCTTTGAAAATGCCACTGACGAAGGTGAATCTTTGTTCAAAAGTTCAAGAGATTGTGGAGGATGAGGGGGAGGGGCCTTCTCTTCTGGATTTGCCTGAGTTGGCTTTGGAATGCATTCTCGAGAGGCTTTCACCAGCTGATTTGTGTAGCATGGCTGGAGTTTGTAACTCTCTGAGGGATAGGTGTAGAAGTGATCATTTATGGGAGAAACATTTGAAGCACAAATGGGGCAGAGTGATTTGTGAGGCTGCTTGTAAGGAATGGCAATGTCATATAGCTTCAAGGAAGAGGCCAAGCTTTTTAGATCAAAGAAATCAAAAGGGTTTCTTTGGATCTCTAATGGGTATGTGGCCTTTTTTCTGGTATAAACCTCAGTGTGAAAGTAGAAACAAGCCCACAACTTGTTTACCAGTTGATTCAATCATGGCTTTATATCTCTCTCTTGAAAGTGGCAAGTTTTGGTTTCCAGCGCAGGTCTATAATCGTGAGGTAAAGACTGGAAAATACCTGTTCTTGATCTTAATTTTGCATCTTCAAATTGATGATATGATGACTGTGGTTGTGTGTTCATGACAATTCTCTTTATTAATTTTGTTTTTTGGAAAGTTCAATGAGATTCTGTCTCTGTTTTGGTTTCAGAATGGACATGTTGGATTTATGTTATCATGTTATGATGCACAACTTAGCTATGATTCCAGGACAGACACCTTTCAGGCAAGGTATGGAGAGAGAACTCGGATCGGAATCTGAAACTTCTTATCTGTTCTAACGAGCCTTAAATCATTTTATCAAGCTTTGATGAATCTTAAAACTTTCAGCATTGGAAGTTTTTAACCTGTGCCAAATTCTTCTGCACATTGAACTGCAGCTGCTAATATAGCTGAGAATATTTTATTGTCATATGAGAAGTAATTTGTGTTGAAATTGTGCTTTTTTACTTGATCAGCTCATGTGTAAGGCAGGGCCGTCTGCTGAAACTCGTAGGGTATTTTTAATTGCAGGTATTCTCTTTTTGCACGGCGAACAATAGAAGAGAGCATACACTGGGATAGGCTCAGAGCACCACCAGTTGAAACTCCTGCACATGTTCTTTATACTTCTGATTGTTTGAATGACTTGAAACCTGGTGATCACATTGAGATCCAGTGGAGGAGAAGCAAAGAATTCCCTTATGGTATGTTCTCGATCCTAAAAATTTATCGCCTTCGGAGTTGATCAAGTTTCTACCTTCGGTTCAGACTACATTATTTTCCTAGAACCATGCTTCAATCCCTTTTGAGATTTTGAATATCTTCAAAATTTTCTGCTCGTGAGTTGGGATATTTTAGCTTCAATTTGCTTAGTTTCTGCATCTGAATTTCTGTCTTGAAATTGGTCGTGAATTGCTGTATTAATTGTGGGTATACATTAAAATGATCTTTTGCAAAATGAGCAGGTTGGTGGTATGCTGTTGTGGGGCATCAGGAATTATGTGATGGGAATGAAAATCGCTGCCGTTGCCGATACAGTGGTGAGTGTGGATCATCAGAAACTGTAAAATTATCCTTTTCTTATCCTTTTTCATTCACCATTGATACAGTAGAGATTCATGGAATTTACTCTTTCCATTTTTGAAGTAACAGATTAGTCTTGATGGGTAAATCTACAAAGTCTAGGTACTTCATTTGTTGCCTTTGCCTGCTTTTATAAAGAACAAATGCTATTGGAATTCCAATCTTTCTTATCCTCAACATGTTGGGAACTTGTCCTGTCATTACTCAGCTTTGTCGGGCAAGTGAGCTTGAGTGGTTCAAGCAAGCTGAACATCTGTTAGGCCACTTCTAAAACGTACACTTTTCTTCAAAAGTGAGCGACAAAACATGTGCATGATGCATTATCAGTTCCCCACTTTCCTCATTACTTTATCATCCCCATCAATCTCCATCCAGCATCTTTTCTTGATGAATTCAAGAAGCCAATTCAATAATGACATACAACAAGTCGAAGTACGCAACCCAAAATAGATCACAGAACAAACAGTCATAACAAAACAAAAACAGCAGGTCTTTGATCTACAGACAACATCAACACTTTTTTTCACAAAAAAAAAAAAGGATCATTCAAGTGGAATAAAACCTTTCAGCATTATCAATTGATCATTCATTTAGTCTTACAACTTGTGAAAGCAAAAGATGAAAATTCAAAGGTATACTTAAGTATGATTGCGCTACTCCAGCTCTGGCTAGCTGTCGTATTGATGTTTAGTTCATGGTTACTGGTGGCTCATTGAACAAATTGCTGCCATTCATACATGCATCATTTTCAAATATTTGGGTTTCTTTGGATGTTGATGCCATTCATACATGCATCATTTTCAATCAGAGACACACATGATATGGAACAATTTCAATTTTTAGAGTGATTAAGCATGAACATTAGAAGCTCTCATCATGTTGCAGCACTTGCTCAATTTGCTAACATGAAGTCTTGCTAACAGACACAGTAGTACTGGAGTTCAGCCAATACCCCCCTGGCACTCGATGGAGACAGACGATAGTAAACAGGAAGGACCGCAGGGAAGTGGGTAATGAAGCTGACGGTTTCTATGGAGGAATTAGAAAGCTTTACAAGGAGGAAGAGATATTAAAATGGAAGCAGCTATTGCCAAATCAAATCTTCGATTAGCATGATGGACATTTTCCCTTTCACTTTCATAACATACCGACGTAAATAGCTCCCTTCTTTTCCACACTCTTGAGTTGTGATTTCGAGAGCCGAATGCCATAGAAATGTTCCTAGAAAGCTGAACATCACGCTTCAGAGTTTTTGTGAAGCTTGCTGCGGCCTCAGAATAGTGTAGTCTTGTGTGTATTGTAATTTTGTAAGCAATATATATATATATCCCTAATGAGTGAGTCTTTGTGTAGGGAAAAGATAATCAGTTTTATTATTTCAGTTGATGCATTTCTGATGAAACGTGCCTATATTTTTAACAGAAAAAATGCCGTGTTCAAAATTCATATTGTCATTGGTTATAAGATTATTGTTTTTTCCTTTTTTATCTATTGTATTTTTCTATAAATCTCTTTTAGTTGGTGTTATTCTCACCTCATAAGTTATTATTCTCACTTTATAAATATTATTCAGATAAATCAAATTACCCATAATTATATTTTCATAAATGAAGATATATTAGATTTTGGTTCTGTATTTAGATCTGGAAAATATAACTAAAAGAGTAAATTCTTTATTTTTATAATCATGAATGTAATTTTTTAATTTTTTTTCTATCATCACCTATCACGTAATTATTTTATTGATTTTTTTGTCGTATTATATATTTGTTTTGTTCTAGACATTATCCACCGAATAAAAATATTCATTTAGAAAAAAAAATTAATAAAGTCAGTAAGATTTTAAGAGCTTTAATTTTTATCTACTCCTTTTTTTCTTCGAATTAATTTTTAATTTTAATAAATTAGAAAAAACAACATTTTAGTTATATCTAAAAACATTTCATAATCTTATTAAAAACAAGGAGTAATGTAGCATATCAATATAATTTGCAACAAATATGGAATGAAATAATAAGTTATAAAATGAGAATAATGCCATTTCCCCCTTAAAATTGGTATTATTAACAAACTTGCAAATTAGTATTATTATTATTAACATATGTTAAAAGTATTTGTCATTTAATTGTATCAATAAATAATAAAATATTAGGGTTTTTTTACTTTGATCCTAAAAAATCTTGAGGATTTATTTAATTTCAGTTATTTTTCTATTTTATTTGACAACATTAAAAGAACTAGGTATTAAACTTTACAATTTATTTTGACTTATTTGCTATGAATTTATTTTGGTCTAATGACTTAAATCACAAGTTTTGCAAGTTAGTCATGTTAACTCGAGTTATTTTTTTAATTAATTTTTATATTCAACATTGAATTGATTGAGAATCAGATTTTATAATTGTTTTTTTATTTGCTTTCTTTTAGGTTATCAAGTTCTCATAATCCATGTTACAAGTTTTATAAATTAGCCAAGTGGACTCTTTTTTTTTGTTAATATTTTTTAAATTTTTATTCTTTAAAATTGGGTTGATTAATAATTAAAATTTATATAATTTTTTATTTTTTTGTTATAGAATTATCCTGATCTAAGTTTGACAGGTTAACTCATATTAATATGAGTCATTTTTTTTTTAATTTAATCATTTATCACGATCTTAGGACTCTGGTCAAGGGTTAGATTAGTTGACTCAGTTTTTTTTAGTTTAATTTTTTTTTAATTTTATCATTCAATAATAAAAATTAGACTTTATAATTTATTTCAGTTTGTGTTCTATGAAGTTATTCTAGTCGCATAATCCAGATCACAAATTTGGTTAGTTAACTTAGGTTGTCTAGGTTGGTTTTTTGTGTTCTTTTTTTAAGTGATTTTTTTTAATTTCATTATTCAATATTAAGTTGGTTGAGAATTAAGCTTTATAATTTGTTTTGATTTGCTTTCTAAAGAGTTATCTTAATTTTCTAATCTAGGTTTGATAGATTAACTTAAGTTCACTCAATTCATTTTTTAGTTATATTTATTTTTAGTTTCATTCTTCAACGTTGAGTTGGTTGAAAATTAAGTTTATTTGTTTTTTATAATTTTATTATAATTTCATGACATGGGTAGCAGATTTGGTCGGTTAACCCGAGTCAATCTAATATGTTATCGTTTTAATATTTAGTAAAAGATATCATCTTAAATTTTTTAGTTAAATTTTTTTAGTAAAAAATATCATTTTAAATTTTTTAGTTAAACCATATTGTTATTAGTCATTCGGTTTATCTTTGAATAAGCCAAGTTGACCAAGTTGCATTAAGTTAATTTCCATATAATTTGAAAATATCATACTAAAAAAATATATTAATATCAACTAAATATTTTTTTAAATCCAAAAATAATTAATATGGTCCGTAATGCAGGGCAACAATGATCTAATTAACAAGAATTAATCGGGAAGGGGAAATCATTATTCCCCTCCTCATAAAGCACGATTCATTGGAACATTATTTTGATTTTTTTTAATTTTAATTTTTTTAATTATTTTCATCCCTTAATATTAGATTTATCAGAAATTAAATTTCATAATTTATTTCAGTTTATTTTTTTATAAGGTTATTTTAATCATATAATTTAAGTTATAAGTTTTACAGGTTAAGTCGATTGACTAAGATTTTTTTGTTTTTAATTTTCTTTCTTCAATTCCATCATTCTCTATTTGGATTGATTGAGAATTATGTTTTATAATTTGTCTTGGTTTACTTTCTATGAGATTATTCTAATTTCATAACTCAAATCAAGGATCTAATGGGCTAAATCAAGTTAATCCATATCTTTTTTGCTTATTTTTAATTGCATAATTCAATATTAAATTAATTAAAAATTAAATTTTATAATTTATTTTGATTTGTTTTTTATTAGGTTATGTTGGTTGTATGATCTAGGTTTGACGGGTTAATCTGTGCGAAATCATGTTTTTTTTAATTGTTAAATTAATTGGGAATTGAATTTCAATGTATTTTTTAATTTGCTTTCAAAATAAGGTTATTATAATTTCATGATTTATTTTGTAGATTTTATATTTTATATGTTAACTTATACAATATATTATATTTTTAATATTTTTAAAAAATATCATCTTGATTTTTTTAATTAAACTATATATTTTTAATTATTTTATTTTTTAAAATTTATCAAATTAACTTGTTATATTATATTCTTGAAAACACATTAGCATCTTTTTAATTTAAAAATAAAATTGGATCTTACATGAATCATAACATAACACGGTAAAAAGTTCCCGAAGGAAAAGGCCACGCATTGCTCTATAAAAACTAAAAACACTCAAAAAAACTATTTTCCATACATTTTTATAATAGACTTTTTCAATACTTTTTTTTTTTTAAAAAAAAAAAGTTACAAGAGTCTAGCATGTTTTATATATATATATATAAACCTTTGCCCCAAAATAGAAAAATAAATAAAGAAAATTAATCAATCACATTCCATTCCATCTCAATTTCCCATCTACCAGCGACCTCTTCTTAAAACTGAATTTTTTGTCAACTTTTAACCAAATCCAATACCCACATCAACAACAACGTAGAAATTAGTAGAAAGTTCGTCGTCGCCGTCGCTTGGTAGCGCCTCCTTTGACCCAGAAAGATGAACGGCGGCCCCTCTGGTTTCAGTGCGTCGACCAATTAACCCCCTTCCTTTCTTTTTCCCCCTTCATTTTCATTGATTGATGTTGTTGATATTGATATACATCTAAATTTTATGATTCTTATTTTTATTTTTTGTGGGTTTGGTGATATATAGACAATGCGCCTGTTACGAAAACATTTGTTATTGCAAGTGCAATTTTTTCCATTTTCTTGAGGATCAAAGGTGGCCCTAACAAGCTTGGACTATCGTATCAGGTTCGTTCTATTGGCTTTACTGTTTTTCTTACGTGGTTTTTTTTTTCTTTTTTTTACAATAGTGGTAGATTGATTGAAATTAGAGTCAGAATTTATATTTTGTTTCACAAAAATATTAATAGTTTTCCTTTTTAGTTTAGATGTTAATTATCCTTGTTTTAATGATTTCTTTCTTAAAAGTTATAATTTTATGACTTATAAGGTAAACTTAGAACTCAACTGGTTGCTGATGGGCATAGAAGAGTGAGGGAAGGAGAGTTTACAGTAGAATTATAGATAAAATGGGATGATGGAGCATGTAGTTGGTTAGGGAATCTTGTGGGGTTGGATGGTTTTGTGGAACTTTGTTGATTTGGGAGTCATGGTATTGGACATTATAGGATGTACAAACTGGATTTTTTTGAAAATGACAAAGTTATCAGATGGAAATTTCTGAGGAATCAGCTCAGTAGCATGATTTTGTAACATCCTTTGTTAGGATTGTGTGAACTGAAGTTGAATATTGACTTGGGTATGGGTTTACTGGGGATTCTGAGGCAGATTTTTTTATTTTTTATTTCTAGGGGGAGGTGGGGTCTGTTTAGCTATATCCCATGGAAGTATACTTGGGAGATTGAGGCATCTGTTTCCAGCAATGCAGGGTAACATCTTGATTTTAGATGATATGAATGGATTTCTATATTTTAGTGTGAAATATCCGTCTTTATATGGTTTAGCCTTATCAAATTATAATTTGATGAAGGTATCTGTTAGCCATGGTTGAAGATGTAAGATGAGTTGGAGGAGGAAAAGGATGTTAACCTTGTCTTCATTATGTAGACGACTGTTAGCCATGGTCAAATTATAATATTATGATGTTTCTTGTGTAGTGTGATCCTTGAATTTAAAAATGGAGCACACCTTGCAAATTTTGTTTTTCTTTATGGCAGGATATTTTCAGGAATCCCCGTCTCTGGAAGTTAATTTTGTCAGTTTTCGCCTTTTCATCTACACCAGAAATGATGTTTGGGCTATATCTTCTTTACTACTTCAGGGTCTTTGAGAGACAGATTGGTTCCAACAAGTATTTGGTGAGTTATTATCATCCTAATTTGCTCATGCATTCTTTTGGATTGGCACTTGAGACGAATGTTCCAAATCGACATTATCAATATTTCTACACTTGAGATTTTGCATATCTCCATAATTCTGTGTGCTGTTACCTCTCACCGTTTTGTTTTTGATGAAAAAATTCTTAAGTTGAGAAACATGTCTCTGTTAAGATTCTGCTGCTTTAATCAGTAAATGAATTTATTTATTTGTCTTTCTTTTAAAAAAAAATTGTGGCTCAACTTATGCTTTGGTTTTTGCTCTCTGTTTTCCAACAGGATTGGCCCTAGGAAAGAAATATAAATCTGATTGTGTTTTAGTGTGTGGTTTTCTTTCATTATCATATTTGTTCTCCCTTTTATTTTTTTTGTTTATTGAAGTCTGCCCAAATTTTGCAGGTCTTTATTTTGTTCTCTGTGATAGTTTCATTACTCTTTGAGGTCTTTGCTGTTGCACTCCTTAAAGGTATG